AGCATTAGTCTTACCGATGACCTTCACGAATAAAGAAATACGGCCCTGTGTGGAAGCTCTAGCTATGATGCACATGTTTACAGATCGTATAAAATGGAAATAAAACCAGAAAGATATGTCTGTCAATTAGTAGACGACTTAGAAACACATCCATTGCACGTAGACTTGCCATATTGATTAACCGAAGTAGGAAACAGTCATTATTTAACGAATTTGTCCGAAACGTCTGGCGGGCAGTGAACATGAGGATTATATATTATTACATGTGATACTTTGAGGAATTTCAGAAACGAGTATATTCCGGACTGATGAATCAATCAAGGCTTTAAAAAAATATCAGTCGTTTTCTGAAGCACTCTTTCTCTAACTCAGGGTACTCTATGGTATAAGAACCATAGCTTTAAGATTCAGAAACCGTTCGAGTTGATTTCCACATTACCGATGTAATGCAGTGTTTCATATACAGTACGCGGGTTGAGGGTCTTACATACTATCTTGTATCTTGAAAAATGAAGAAGTTTATTCATAAATCGGGAGTTTATCTAGAGGTTGGATTTTACATCCGCTTCTCACTCTGGCATCAAACAAGTAACAGCATCACAGCCTCTCCGATGTTCAAACGTAACACTTTGTCTTATGAAAATGAAACAAGAGATACACGTTTCCAAGGCGACTGCGAAATGTTAATTGGAATCTAGTGCTATATGTGTGCGACATCTATATCACAATGAGGAGGCGCCCTAGCATCCTTGTGTCCGAAATCTGGGTGAAATATTCCAACTGCACGTGGAAATCCTGATTTATGCATTCAGATGGAAAAATAAATGTTCTTAAATCGCTCAAACTATATCATATACCAACAAAAGAATGCTCTTAAAAACATCCATCGTGTATAAAGTGGTAGAGTACTGGTTATCTCCAACTGTACAATCGATACTCCCTTTACGCCAGAAGTACTCTGTTTATCTCATTGAAACTGTGGTTTCATTGTACGATAATGGAAACAACCCGAGGTAATACATCCTGTAACAACATCATGGCTTCTTTACCAACAGGATGATCAAGTCATCGTGTTGCCGGCAAAGTGCAATCCTTCCCCGTGCTGGGAAGACAGTTGCCCTTTATTAATAATTTATTCAGATGTGTATGATGTTCATCTAGAAAATAATATTGAACGATATACATGGGGTGTTCTTTCACTGACAAGGCGTTTGTGTGGGATCCGTTTGCTTCCAGTCTGTCTGGTCAACACCATGAGTTTATACCAGGATGAGTTAGACCAGTGACAAAATACATACCAAATAGAAAATCTGACATATCTAGTCACATATTTGTTCTGTACATGGTTTCTGGTGAGAATGGTTTCTGTGACAATACTTGTCTCCAGGTAATATAACGTTTGTTTAATGGCCTTTCATTTGCAGACATCTGGTGTCTGCCATTAGTTGGCTGCCTAACGCTACTACCCTGATAGCTAACGTTACCGCCGTTATAGGATATAGAGGTCTACTTATAATGATGTTCCCAAAGCAACCAAAACAACGTACTCATAAGGATCTGGGTTAGAAATGGTCATCAGCAACCCATGTTTGTCGCTAGATGCGACTAGCGCTGATTTGGTTGATGATGATGATCATCATATTCCAGTTGAGTAGATCCATGCTCATGATGTCAGTCACTGGATTGTCTGGCCAAGACCCAATTATTTAGTGACCACCCTCATATAGGTGGAATATTGCTAAATGCGGCGTTAAACACAATGATACGTCGTGCTAAATGGACAGGTTGGATACAGCATGGTGTTCACATGACTGTGTATGCTATGGAATCTACGTGTTGTAAGCTAAATGGACAGGTTGGATACAGCATGGTGTTCACATGGCTGTGTATGCTATGGAATAAACATATTGTAAGCTAAATGGACAGGTTGGATACAGCATGGTGTTCACATGGCTGTGTATGCTATGGAATCTACGTGTTGTAAGCTAAATGGACAGGTTGGATACAGCATGGTGTTCACATGACTGTGTATGCTATGGAATCTACGTGTTGTAAGCTAAATGGACAGGTTGGATACAGCATGGTGTTCACATGGCTGTGTATGCTATGGAATAAACATATTGTAAGCTAAATGGACAGGTTGGATACAGCATGGTGTTCACATGGCTGTGTATGCTATGGAATCTACGTGTTGTAAGCTAAATGGACAGGTTGGATACAGCATGGTGTTCACATGGCTGTGTATGCTATGGAATCTACGTGTTGTAAGCTAAATGGACAGGTTGGATACAGCATGGTGTTCACATGGCTGTGTATGCTATGGAATCTACATGTTGTAAGCTAAATGGACAGGTTGCATACAGCATGGTGTTCACATGGCTGTGTATGCTATGGAATCTACATGTTGTAAGGCACACATACTTATCTAAACATGAAGATCCTGGTTAGAATGAACCTTCAGTAACCCATGCTTGTCGTAAGAGGCGACTAACGGGATCGGGTGGTCAGGCTCGCTGGCTTGGTTGACACATGTCATCGGTTCCCAATTGCGTAGATCGATGCTCATGCTGTTGATCATTGGATTGTCTGGTCCAGACTCGATTTTTTTATAAACCGCCGCCATATAGCTGGAATATTGCTAAGCGCGGCGTAAAACTAGACTCACTCACTCTCACATATTTATCAGCCGTTCAACATAAAAGGTTGTTTTCCAATCAAAGCCGAATGAGAAGAAAATTAAATCTTTGAATGAATATACATGTGCTTCATTTAATCACTCCACAAATGTTTAACTCCTTGAAACTCAAAGAAAACACTGTCCGCCAAGCTCTCAGTGTCCGCATATGAGTTGATGCTGTTTACTGAACAACACGAACTTAAGAATACAGAGCTGTTGTCAATTTGCCTTGTGTTGGAAAATCAACAGATGTATTGATGAGAACATCCTCAGGCTTTGGTATAACTCTAAACAAGACAACAGACAGTGAAGATCGGGACTGGAGTAAATTTACATTTGCACCTGCAGTAGACATTGTGCAGATTTGTTCCTGGTATATAGACACATACACGTGTAGAGGTGCATGTAGAGGGTAAACGTGTAGAGGTGCATGTAGAGGGTACACGTGTAGAGGTGAATGTAGAGGGTACACGTGTATAGTTTGGCATGAAATGCATGTGGACCCGGTTTTGGCAGTGATTTACAATGTGATTAGGTTGTCTGACAAAACATCCACTTGCACAGTTTGAGATCGATTGGGTCATTGGATGAAGAGATATTTACAAAAAAACGGGTCCACATGCATTTCATGCCAAACTATAGAGCGCTTTCTTGCGATCGCAACAGCATAAACGCCCAAAAACGTGCATGATCATGACCATGTTCTCTGTTAAAACGTTCCCAGAGGTCAGTGCGACATATTAGCCTAGAGACCCGTCATCATAAACATTTCCAGAGATCCCCTCGAGTGCTGTTCGGAAGACCCAGATAAGAATGCGTGGAATAGCCCCGGGTACGGTTGAGCTTACAAGGGTTAAAAGGTTTTAAAAAGCTGACGAGGTAAAATATCGACTGTAATATGTCTGACGTCAATACACATCGTTATTGGACAATAATGATCGAACGACTTAGATTTAATTGTCTTTTTTCCACATTCTGCTTACCAAGCAAGCTCCGTTATCATGGAAGCATGTGCATGGCGACAACCATCGTATCATGACGACGTCGTATTCCAGGGTGACGTGGCATGTCACAGTGACGTCATGTCCGTCTTACAGGAGGTCGAGAGAGAGAGAGGTCGAGAGAGAGAGAGCTTCAGCAGATGACTAATAACGTTTGTATTACACAATAACGTTAAAACGTATTTATCATATTTGCACAGAGCACAAATCATATCGAATACTCAGCAAACCCCGCAAATCTGAAAAATACAATAAATTAATATCTTAACTGGCCCGCACTTTACCTGACTTATTGTGACTTGTCGCTATCATCCCGCTAAGGACACGCCCCCCCCCTCTTTGATATGCTATGATAGTGGTGGCTCTGTTTCTTTTCGGTGCATCCACAATTTCTGAAGCCCAAAGGCTGTAAATGATATTGCCACAAAACACAGCATTTTCGTTTATGTGAACTTTGTTCTGACCGCTATCGCGCTCCACATGCGACGGAGAATAACTTCTGACGATATATACGAAACGTAACAGGGTAGGCCTATTTATGTAGCCATGTTTCGATTTTTCAAGTGTATTTAAAGTTAACCGGAATTCATGACAACTCATGCTAGCGATGCTTTGCGATTATCACTCAACTAAATGTGAAACCTGATGTCCTGATACTATTTCAACACCCACACTGATCGACTGGTCACGTGAACAAACACAAACCAGTCAAAACAGGAACTTCAATCGGGCCAAACCCGGAACGTGGAGATTTTCACGCAAAAACGGCACAGAAGTATTGATTAATCCCTGATCTATGTGTGGCTTTGCACTCCTGATATTAGCACACTTAATTCTGTGGTTGGACATTATATGTGACATCCATGCATAAAAACGTTTACGTAAATAAACACTTCAATCGGAGATGTAATGTAATATCATTGTTATTTTGTAAAAAAATAAATATGGCTACGGATCTGAAAATTTAATTTGGCCATATATATTTTACTGTAAGAATATGGATGTAACATATGGACGTGTGATATGGACAAATATTATCAACAACGGCTAACTCAATGTTGTAAAATGTAGGACACATCTTCGATATGTTGCACAATATAGCACAAGCCTTATAGCCCTATAGACGAATGCGAATCAAGTTTCGCTTCGACACACACCACATCCGCGCTCTAGCTGCTAAAACTCCCACCTTAGCGTTTAGAATGATAACATCACATTAAACCCGCATCTCAGATTCAGCAGTTGCCATAGTTTCTTGTCAACAACTCGCCGATCGGTCGCCGTGCGTAATTATTTATTCTAAGTGGCGAGCGCCCCCTACATGTCACGTGACTTGACGGTGAATGAAATCGGAAAATAGTCGAGACTGTCCGATGTGTGTGTATTTGGTGTAGGATCGTACTGTGCTTGGTTTAAAGGATGCCTCTGTTTGGTAGAAAACAAGAAACAGAGAAAAAAAATACAAAAGATGGGGATATACGTCGGAAGTATGAATTTAAAGAAACACTCGGCACGTAAGTATATCGGTGGTGGTTGGACATGACTGAAACGCCAGTCGCCCTTCCAGCAGCATTCCTTGTCAATCTGAAATACAGATATCCGTCATCGCGCGACACTGGTTGCCGTTAGCGATGGGATTTTAGGGGTACGTGCTTTAGGGAGCGGATGATAATGACACACGACAGATTATGAGCGCGAGTCCTACGTTTGACATATTTATTTCATATATTTGGAATGAATTATACGAATGAGGGGCTATATTTTCACACAGCCAAATAACGTTAGTCCAACTGTACTATAGAAAATACATTGATTAAATTATATGTTTTGAATGGGTAGTGGCCCAACGGTTTAACGTTTTCATAAAATTGTGAATAGTGAATGTGATCTTGCTATTTAAAATCTCAAACAGCTCTATTTATATATGTTCTCCCACACAACTTATTTTGTAATGCTTGTGAAATGACAGAAATTAACTTGCATGTGATATTCTGTGGTCTAGTAAAACGTACCATGAAAATGTTATTATATATTTACATGTCAATGCTTAAGTCAGTAACATTTTGACATCTAACTTATGTTATAGTAAACAACTCACATCCTTCATTTTGACACATTTAATCTTTAAGATTTCAACAGTATAATGTATTTGTTAAATCAGTAATAATCTACATACCTGAGCTTCCTCATACCTGTCATGCATATTTGAGTTTGTATTATTAAATTTTGTTTAATTTGAAATTGAACCAACCATATTTGCTACAGTTATCACCGGGTAGTCTGTCTCCCACCCCATTGAGAATAAAGTAAAAAGGAGCCCAACTCAAGTCTAGAATGATTGGGCAAGTCTAGATTGCCTTAGCTCGAGGACCAGAATGATTGGGCAAGTCTAGATTGCCTTAGCTCGAGGACCAGAATGATTGGGCAAGTCTAGATTGCCTTAGCTCGAGGACCAGAAATTAGGAATTGTTGTGGGCTTCTTTTGGATTTTAGTTACATGTATTTGTGTTCTTGATTGATATTTTCAAATAAGTTTCCTTTTCTTCGGGTTCTAAAAGTCAGTCCAGGGTACATTGAAAATTGACAATGGTTGTACTTCTGAAAACTTTTCACATGTTGTCAAAAAACCGAACAGACTAAGTTCAAATTTGTCCAATGTTTGTTAGTCCTTCACTCTTAGATGCTTGATTCGCATTTTAGAAGATGATATTTGATGAACATAGAGATTTTTTCTGGGTTACATCTTCTTTTTATTCTCGAGTACAACGTTTCAGGGCTTGTTCTGGCCCCATCATCAGGTAAAACTTACGTGCAAATGGTAAGGGGTGCAATCACGCTATATCCAACCCTAAAGGCTGTGTGTATAAACTGAAATGTGACTGTGGTGACATCTACATTGGTGAGACAGGCAGACCAGTAGCTACACGTGTGAAAGAACACAAAACTTCAGTGGACAAATCAGATCTGAAATCTGCAGTTTCCAAACACATTATGAATAATCCCGATCATGAAATTGACTGGGAAACTGAAGTCCTCGCAAAAAACATCAGTGACTGGCGGAAACGCAAGTTGATTGAAGCTATCTTCATCAAACGCACAAAACCAGCAATTTACAGGGATCAGGGTGTCTACCTCCCAAATGCATGGTACATAAAACAATAAGACAATACCCTATCCTCGTCACTGTTCCCATGTATAAAGCATAATTTCTATGTATACACTGCTATTACTTTACATTCTATACATTTATAAATACGTCTCCGTACATTTCTAAATCAATCAACAATTTTGTATAAGTATCTGCAAAGTTCTAAATTGATCCATTAATTTTGCAGTAAACAACATCTTATATACTAGTATTCATAATAACATGTATTCTATTAGCCATGTCGGATCTGTATCTATTGACCACCACATGTATTGCGTCGTCATAGCATTGTGACGTCATAAGCATTGTGACGTCACGGCCAGAGTTAACAGTTACTGTTCAGTTTTACCTGATGATGGGGCCAGAACAAGCCCTGAAATGTTGTACTCGAGAATAAAAAGAAGATGTAACCCAGAAAAAATCTCTATGTTCCTTCACTCTTGGTTGCTCAAGTTTGGCCTTGAGGTTGGTAAGGGGGCGTTCATGGAGCAGGGGTCTTTCTGTACCAATTGCAACAATCCAAGGGTAAATGTTGCAATTGTTGTCAGCCCATAGAAAACCTGTTTATATCCTGTATCCTGATCTATTAATAGGTGCATTGATTCGTTATTCCTAATTCCCTATGTAAGTACTGTACACAGTAACTGTATTGGTATTGTTATCAGGACTGACAGCACAAAGCAAACAGTGATTGTACATGGTACACTTTCTTAACAGGCCTCATTGACCCAATGACGTACATTTTCTGTTGAATATCATGTTGATTCCATATAGTTAAATAGGGCTGGGACGATACACTATGTCACGATACGATACATATCGCCATATTTTACCTGCGATACAATACGTATCACGATACATAAACCTTGAAAGAATGACACGGTATCAAGATTTAAACTGATTTATTTCAAGGTATTTGTGTTTAACAATAACACTGTTGTAATAAACAAACAAGTAACTCCATCATACTTGCATATTTTTCTCTAAATCATGTTTAAGATAATACTGTTTTTAAAAAAGAAGTGTATCGTTTTGTATCGATACACCAGTCCACGATATGATAGCTGTATCAAACTTAAATGTCTCGATGCATCGGTGAATCGTCCCAGCCCTCATATAGTTAAACTGAAAGAATGAACTAGTGTTTGAAGGTGTGGTGGGTTGGGGTGTTCCTTGAGATTTTCTGCTTCAGTTTTTTAATGTACAGATTCCCCCAAAGTTTAGGTTTAGGATATGTCATGGGCCCTTTGACTTCCAGTCTGTATTAATCATACTGCTTATACAGAGGCTTTATCTGAAGGAGGAATGGAGGTAGCCATGCTCATGTCATCAAGTTCATTTGGTGATCTAGATATACAAAAGTACAGATCCTGGAGAAATCTCCTCATATACAAAGTCTTTGTAAGAAAAATAGTGCAGGTCCAGATAAAGTATGCAATGCAAGTTTCTAGGTAGTAATCTTCTCACCAAATTTACCAGTTTATATATATAAATTATAATACAATCTTCAAAAGAAATATCTTCAAGACAGCTATAGACTTGGGATGGTAATCTGTCACTGAATGACTTGGTAGCATTCAGCTTTGACAGTGTATTATCTTTTAGTTTGTAGTTTGTTGCAATTCTTCAAGTGTCTTCCTTAATGAAATTATCCAGCGTAGTGTCTGTCATCACACCAGGAAGTCCCTTGTCCAGGGCAATGCCATGGTGTCTGTTACTGTCTGTTACTGTCTGCTACTGTCTACTACTGTATGTTACTGTATGTTTACATCTATACTGTTAGTCAGTCTGGTGTATGTATAGTTCTGAGTATGATACACCTGCTTGCAGGACCTGACTTGTTGGAACTAGTGTTTGCCTCATTGCTCGACTTATGTGTGTCAGTTGTATTCATGTCTTGTTTCATCAACTAAAGATGACTGAACATACTAATTGTCTTCATTCTGAGCTTAATCCATATGTTAGCTACCACTGAATTGGGGTTGAGCTATCTTTGTAACCTCCCTACTTGTTAACCATCTACATATATGTCAAGGATACATCCACAAGTCCTATGTAGACTCAAAGAAATCACATGGTGCTGAACAACATGAATAGTCAACAATTTCATCATGAATGGACCATCCAAGAAACTAATAATGGACAACCTCCGAGTTACCCACAGTGGAGGGAACAGCCAGGTTCCACACTGAATAATATCAAGGTCGCCATTCAGGAATTCTCCTGCTAAAATGAGTGAGTGAGTTTAGTGTTACTCTGAACTCAGCAATATTCTATCTATGTGGCGGCGGTCTGTAAATAATCGAGTCTGAACCAGACAATCCAGTGATCAACAGCCTGAGCATCGATCTACGCAACTGGGATACGATGACATGTGTCAACCGTGTCATTGAGCCTGACCACCTGATCTCGTTAGTCGCCCCTTACGACAAGCACCAGGGTTATTGAAGATCAGTTCTAACCCAGATCTTCACGGGTCTCTGCTAAAAAGAAACCTGCAATGTCAGTGTTGAAGTTTAGTTCCAACTCACAGCCAACAGCGAACAAACCCAGCCCTCTCTCCTCGATGCGAGATAATGTCCTTTAACAGTGAGTCAGGAACAACAGATCTGAATATCTCATCAGATTGCTGAACCTACCCAACAACAAACGTTTGAGGATGCCTGAGGCTAAACATGACAGCGTGTAGTAACATACCTTAATGCTAGTGAGAAATGTGTACCTGCGCCCATACCATATGAAGAGTCACTATATGATGGCCTATTGAACGAACAGCAGACCAGAATGCCAGATCTTGTTCACATTCAGAAGAATTCTTGTGTTTGAATGTCACATACTATTGCTCATAATTGACTATTTCATGTGTATATTGAAACTATGCAATTAGTGCTTAACTCAACATGACCCATATTTCTTGTGAGAGAGGCAGTTGCCTCAGCATCACTTAATAGCACTTTGAAACCGAGGATATGTTGTTCGCGAACAGTAATCTGCTTACGAAACGTAGCTATTTATTTAATGTAATTTTAATCTTCTAAACAACAATTGACTTGGGATGGTAATTTCATTCAGAATGACTTAATAGCTCTCTGTTTGGGCAATATATTATCTTTTATTAATCATAGCTTCTGGACTGCTTTCACTTTTACACAGTGTTGCTGGGGGAATGTAGGCTATTAGACATGCTGTGAGTGTGGTACATGCATAACAGGTCAATCGTGGCCATTGTCTAATATACCTATCTTTATCAAAGGCGTGGTGGCTGAGTGAGTTAGATGACTGACTTTGTGTGCTGACAATTAGGTGTCTGACTCTGAGAGTGTGGGTTCAAATCCTGAATGGGACTCAACCCCAACAAAAGTACTA